CTACGGTGAAACCCGTCTCACTAAAATACAAAAATTAGCACGGGCGTTGGGCAGGCGCCTGGTAGTCCAGCCTACTCGGAGACTGAGCGCAGGAGAATGGCGTCGAACCCGGGGACGACGCGGAGCTTGCCAGGAGCCAAGATCGCGCCACTGCACTCACGCACTGGCGACCAGAGCCAACGACTCCGTCTCAAAAAAAAAAAAAGAAAAAAACTGTTATCCAAAACTTGCCTTAACTTTCTTCTCCTAACCTTCCAGGCCCCCAAATCTGACTCTTACTTAGCCTCGGTCACATACCATATACCCTTTACATCCTTCCGAAAGAATAGGCTGACTTCGGGGTGAGAGAGTCCTCTGATCTAGGAATCTGATATTTTTTTTTGCCACCATCCCTGCCCTCTCCTCCTCCAACTCACTTTTCTAATCAGTGTTCAGCTCCTCCCTAATGAAGAGCAAGCTCTTTTCTGCCTGACCTTTTGAGAGGCATTACAGATCTTTATCTTGGTCCACTTTTCCTCCATATTGCAACATTCCTTTAGAATAAAGTCTACTTTTAACCTAAAATCTGAAATTATTTGACTAAAGTAATAAGTTAAAATGTGTCAATAGAGAAGGAACGCTGGAGTTTGAGAGTGTGAGGAAGGAACCGGAAAACTATTAATTTACCTGCAACAGTCCCAGCGGGACAGTAACAATTATACCCTTAGAAAGGGCATCACAAACCCTCCCTCCTATCCCAAGAGCCGCACATCTGCCTGTGGGATCCTCGCTCCTCCAGGCTTGCCCCACAGATTTACCATTAAACTTGGACATCCAGGTAACAGGAAACAGAGTCATCCACTGTCACAAAATCTCCGCTGGGCACAAAGGTGGAACTGATGCTTTAGTGAGTGTTATTCACTAATTCACCTACTATACTTTCTTGTGAAAACGTGTTTTTCTGCAGCCACAATGGAAGACAGTGTCCCTATTTTTCCCTGGCAGCATTCCCAAAGCTAAGCCCTGGAATTGGGGTTGGAACGATCCCCTAGAAAAGAACAAATCTGTGAAACTTACTACACTCCCTCTGGGGAAGAAAAAAAGCATTTAAGAATTTTTAACAAATGAAATATATCACTAGATATCTAATATTTTTCTGATATACACTTCTTTCTTGGCCTTTTGAAAATATTTTCTTATCTCTCAAGCTGTACTGATAAAATGTATTTTTCAATCAGTGAAAAACTGAAGTTAAAATAAGTGAACAAATATTTTCAAGGTGACAAACACAAGGAGTAGCAGTACTGACTGACACGGACATGGCTGACTCAAGGGTCAAGTCAGACCATCTCATCACCTGAATCCTCCCACCCCATCCTGCTCAGGGAAGTCCTCAATGCCCACCCTCCCGCAAAAAGCTGCGCTGTGTCCCCACTGTGCCCCAAATGCATTTTGCTTTTTAGGTTCCTGCCTCACTGCGGTGGGTGGCGGGCGGGGAGGGTGTTTCCTTGCACTTTGGAATAGCTGTTCTCCCTTCACAAGTATGAGAGAATTCAGAGGGCAGAAATTCTTTCTTCCATTAATACCAGTATCTGATTGCCTGACCAGCATTTTGTCTCTAAGGAGTGATAACAGGGGTGAGAGAAAAAAAAATCTAAGACCCACTGGATTAGCTTTTTAGAGGAAGAGTATAGAAGAGTATCCCAGGAGACTCCTCTCAGTTCCAGGGGATTCATGCCATCCAGCTGTTCCTCTGAGAGGCTCTACCCCTAAACCTCACCTTGTCTTCTGGGAGAAGAGGACCCAACAGCTGACATTCACTATTTATGACACTCCAAGAGACATGGCCAGTGTGGGCACATTAGGTCCAAAAAACAGTTTTTGAACCCAGGACCCAGAAAAGACAGGACAGTGGCTGAGGACACATCGCCACGTGAAGGTTCCAAAGGGAAACCTCCATCCAAAGACGTTCTGGTAAAGTGTGTGTGCCTAGGAAGACAAAAGGAGGAGAGGCACAAAGAATTTTTTCTAGTGGACTAGATCAGGTGATTATTCTCTGTTTTCATGTGAAATGCTCAGAAACAGCTCCTCACTACTCAGAGAAAACATGATAAACCATTAAAAGACTGCATCTGGTTCAAATGCACAATAAAGAACAAATAGTTAAAAATGTTGTAAATTGCAGAGGGGAAGCTGGAGTTTGAGAGTATGAGGAAGAAGCTGGAAATTTAGAATTTTACTCAAGTTCTAGAAGAGAGGCTGGGGAATACGGTCATGGATTTGAGACCCTGCTTGCCATACATTTGGAAAATGCAGGGGAAACCAGTACCCCTGTGGAAATAATTAAATAGGAAGAAATTAGACTGAAGTTATAGCAGGACAAGCTGCAGACAAAACCCCTCAGACACCAAGTTAAAGAAGGAAGGGCTTTATTCCGACGGGAGCTTTGGCAAGACTCACCCAGCTCCCCAAGTGAGCAATTCCTATCCCTTTTAAGGGCTTACAACTCTAAGGGGGTCCGCGTGAGAGGGTCGTGATTGATTGAGCAAGCAGGGGGTACGTGACTGGGGGCTGCATGCACCGGTAATCAGAACAGAACAGAACAGGACAGGGACTTTCACAACGCTTGCCCATACAATGTCTGGAATCTATAGATAACATAACCGGTTAGGTCAGGGGTCGATCTTTAACCAGGCCCAGGGCGCCGCCCGGGCTGTCTGCCTGTGGATTTCATTTCTGCCTTTTAGTTTTTACTTCTTCTTTCTTTGGAGGCAGAAACTGCGCATAAGACAGTATGAGGGGTGGTCTCCTCCCTTAAAGTGACTACGGTGCCCTGAGTTCCTCACCGAGAAAACCTAAAGGAACTTCATGCCTTCGTTGTAAAGTTAAGTCACTTGAAGGGAACCAAAACTTAACCAACTCCAAATCATCAATTTACCTCTGATTACATAACCGGGAACCATCCACCTAAATAATCCGAATAACAGAACTACATAATTACAACCAATCAATTATTACA